ACACACGCGCGCACACACACACACACACCAAGGAATGTATCTGTCTCAGTCATGTTCCTCATTGCTGGGACAAAATATCCCCCCCACTTACAGTTTAAAGGAGCGGTTTGTTTTGGCTCATCCTCTCAGTGGCTGGAAACAGAGCAGAAATTGCAGAGCAGCACAAAAGCTGCTCACATCATGGCAGCCAGGAAGCAGAGAGCAAAGGAAGGAGTTGGAAAGGGAGATACACAAACCTAGGCCACAGACCTAGTCACCCTCTCCAGCCAGACTCCACCTACTAACAACAAGCCAGCGTATTTCCCTCGTACTCCAATCACTTTTCCAAAGTCCCACTGCCTCTGATCACATGAGAATTCTGGATATCAACCATAACAGGATCAAAACAGAATCCCGGCAGGAACAGATTGTACACTCACATTAGGATAATGTGGGTATTGTTTAATAAAGGGATAATTTTAAAAGGTTGTGGACAGGTGTTACGGTTTGTATGTAGATGTCGCTAAAGCCTCATGCAGATGAGGTGGGACTTTCTTTTTCAGAGGTAGGTGAATCTGGCATGTGGGATGCTGGGGTTAAGGGTCTGTGATTACTAGACCATTACAGGTGAGTGATTAGTTTGGCACTGCCCTAATCCCAGTAGTTTGAATAAGATAAAAGGGGCAGAAAAGCGCTGCTAACTCTCTTCTTACCCTTGCTGCCATGTGTGTGCCATGTTGTTTCTGCTCTGCAATGCTTGTTTGCCACCCTAACTCAGAGCCACTCGATTACGGACTGAAATTTCTACAAACTGTAAGCAAAATAAACCCCTCCCTGTTTAACTTGGGGTGTCAGGTATTTTGTCTCAGCAACAAGAGAAAAGTAACTCACGCAGCAGGATATAGGGAAACCTTAAAAGGCCAATGTAGTCCTCCACAGGACAGTGAGAGTAGAGCTGTACACATATGTGGAAAGGGGTAAGGAGAGAGCACGACATCTAGAACCCAAGGGAGAGCCACATAAGGACAGGGATCTTGAGAGATGACCCTCAGTCAAGAATACAGTCAACAGGCAGGGGATTTAGCTCAATGGTTCCGCCATCTGCCTTGCAAGCACAAGGACCCAAGTTCAATCCCCAGTACCAAAAAAAAAAAAAAAAAAAAAAAAAAAAAAAAAAGATAACCCCAGAGGAAGGAAGCCCAGGAACAAGAGAGAATATTGTATCTCTCTGTGTCCTCACTCTCTCTCTCTCTTTCCTCTAGTCTTTCCTGCCCAAGATCTCTGTTGGCCAAAGCCTTGGAAAATCAGAGGAGGGCGTACAAGTCAGCCTCTCGGTTCCAGGCATGGCAGAGATGGATGTGGAAGGAAGGAATGCTGTATCTTTTAAGAAGACCCAATACAATTTCATAGCTCATAACCTTTACCACAAAGATGACAAATACTTCTTCGGGAGTTTTTTTTGTTTTTTTTTTTAAATAATGTCCTCTGCTTCAAGACACATGAACTGGGACACAGTGGCTTCAAAAGATAGATGTTTATTTTCCTTGTATCACCTGAAGTCCAAGGGTAGGTAGCTTCTGGCATTGATTCAGAAGATCAAGAATGATAAGTGAAGCCGTTTTATGCATTTTTTCTGTGATTTTCTTCAGCTTTCTCAGGGACCCAAGAACAAGAAAAATGGCTATAGCTGGGCTTCCAGGTATCATGGCTGCATTCTTTTTCCAATAGGGCTGTAGAATTTACCCAGACTCCTCACCCAGTAACTTCTGTTTACATCTCACGGACCTCCCTCATCTATAGGAAATGCTGAGAGACATACTTGAGTTGATTACGTTGCTACCTTCTATGATTTAAGGATCCTGTTGGGAGTAAACAGGAGAGTGTGCATTTTGAGCAGACAACCAGTAGTGTCTACCCAGGGTAGAGTTCAATCACCTGGGGTACATGGACCAATAACATTGCTTCATGTTGGTTTCCAAACTAAATTATCTTCTGGTAGCACACACCTATAATGACAGCACTAGGGAGGCTGAGGAAGGAGGATCTCAAGTTCAAGGCCAATTTAGACCAGACAGCAAGATCCTGTCTCAAGACGACAATCACAACAACAGAATTAGATTATTTTCAAGTCATGTGACTCAGATTTCCTCTCTTGAGTCATCAGATTTATTATCAAGTTCTTCTTTATGGACTATGGAGACCAGCAGGTGAGAGAATGGCCATATAAAAGAGATGATTACAAAATGCCAAGACAAATATCTATATGTGTGCCTTCTAAAAGGTCTGCACAAATAAAATAAAGCTGTTTCTGGTAGAGTCTGGAAATAAGAGAAATGGAAAAGACATTTTATTAGTATGCTGATAGAACTATAAAGCTTGCATTTTTTACAAAAATATTTTGCAATGTATAATGAAATCTTCTTAAAAATGTTCACATCCTTTATCCCAATAATTTATTCAGGTTGTATCTTTTTTGAGGGATCTAGAAAGAATTAAGAGAACAATTAAATTTAGTAGCGCCACATTAGAGAATAAGAAGTAACTATTAAAACTGAGGCTTACAAAGCATTTCAGCTAGTAAGGAAGAATAGTTTTATTTTCATAACCTACAATTTTGCCCAAATATCCTAATGCCGTGTGGTCTGCTTTTCTGTAAATTTCCAACTAAAATAGCTTGAGCTTCCATCCCTCTCAACAGTAGAATCTACTCTCGTTGTCTGTCACCACTTCAAATTACAGGGGGAAAAACCCGCACCCTTTTAGAGAGCAACTGGCAAAGAATTTAAAGGCTAATTTCTAAAAGGCTAAGATGACTACCTGTAAACATGTTCAAACTCCAAATTTAATGAGAAATGAAAATTTATTATTTTGTGTTAAATGGGCCAATATGGAGAAAACAATACACAGGCTGCTAAGGAAACAAGAACAGTGTAGTCCTGTTTGTGGCAGGGGGATGACTTTTTGGAGAGCAATCTGTCCCTATCTTTTGACCCAGCAATCCCTGCTCTATCAGCTTAACTCTACATGTAATTGGATTAAGCTATGTACGACATTTTTGTGACACTGTATTGAAGTATAAAAAGAGCTGAACGATGTTGGTTCTGGATCATGATAACAGTGATAGGTAAACAGCAAAATGGGGAAGTGCTTAACAGATTTTTTTTTTTTTTTAAATTTTGGTATTGGGGATCGAACTTGGGACCTTGCAGTTGTGAAGCACGTAGCAGAATCACTGAGCTAAATTCCTGGCCCCTAATAGATGTTTTTTGAACTAATTTAAACAAGTAGTATTATGGATTGGATGAGTGATCCCCATAGGTCAAGTGTTAAAGTCTTGGTTCTCAGGGTGGTGCTCTAGGGAGGTGGTGGAACCTTTGAGAGATGGGTTTTCCTGAGAGATCCTGAGATAATGGTGTGAGGTGGGACCCTGTTTCATTCCCGCTCTCTCCTTCCTGGATCCTGGGAGGAGACTCCTCCCTGCCATACACTTTTGCCGTCTGGCACCCTCACCAGAGGCCCAGAGCAGTGGAGCTGCCCAATCCCAGTCTGAACTTCCAAACTGTGAGCTAAACAAATCTTTTCTCGTTATGAGTTAATTGCCTCAATTACTTCTTATACGGATGTGAAGCTGACTACTATAGAAAGTCTGTACAGTAGAAATTCGTTTTGTTCCCAGTAGCCTCCTGCATCTTGTACTTTAGTTACACGAAAATACACAGAAGTCAAGAGTTGTAGCCATGGGCATGGAGCTTAGGCAAAGGGGTACAGCCATCTGGTTGTACAGTGGGAGACTAAGGAGTGGCATTTGTTTGTTTGTTTTACACAGTGAAATTCATTATAAAATTAGATGAGGCCTCCCAGTTAGAATGAAGAAAGAGATTAGTAGTGGACCTTGGGAAAGTCCATAGGGGGCAAGATAGATCAGGTCAGGGTGCTCTGTGGTTTGTTTTGCTCTATGCAATACTTCAAGAGAAATGATGATATTTGATATTTGTATGATCAGGAAAACAAAACACAACTAAGCAAGCGTGGCTGCAGTTGTCCTGTCCTGCCCAGCTGCACCATGGCATCAATATGCTAGCTCGACCATAACATCCTCGCCCCTTCATTGCCTCTCAGTGCTCCATGGGAAGCTCTGCTGTAAGATGCCTTTGTTTCCTAGGGAATGATACTATGATTGCTTCCTGAAAGAGTTGCCTGATGGAATCTGAAAGTTACTTAAAAAACACATAAAAATGTGCATGACTCTTCCTATCGTAAATTTCATCAAGCTTTTCAGAATTCAGGTCCATTGTAAAACTACTTAACATGTCACTTCCTAAATACCTGTTGTTATTTCTGGTCCCCGGAAAAAGCAGTAAAAGCTGTGACTTTCCTGATGGTGACAGTCACTTTGTTACTCTCACTGGACTTTCTGTCTCCAGGCCTGGACATCCAGGAAGAGCTACTCAGCAGGTCACTCTCCTCCTATCTTGGCCGAAGGCTGAAACAAGCCTGTTCTCCCCGTCAGAAGCAATGCTCAGAAATTTGTGCTTTGCTTCTCTGATTGGAGCTGCACTTACAGCCTTTCTTAAAGGTTGCATAGTATGATTTTTTAAGAATTAAAAACAAAAGAATGTTGTGAATTTCAGGTCCAAAGTGACCTTCAAACATTTAGATCTTCCATAACCTTCCCTTGCATCGTTTAAAATTTGTGGTTAGCAGATAAAATGTACATGCATAGCTGAGATTCTTAAACTCAGAAAGACATTACTGACTTTTGTATTCCTTTCATTAACACTTGTCCAGTTATGATTTTGATATTAGAATAACAGTTTCAGTGGGATGCATTATTACCTAAGCATTGAGTTTATAACTAAATCACTTCCTCTTCTTCCTCTCCTGCATTAATTTTTTGCTCTTAAGAAACAGACTCTTGCAAAAGAAGGTGCTCTACAAGACAACATATACAATAAATATGGCTCAAATCATTGCTTATAAAAATTCTAGAACCTGTCACCTGCCATTTTGCTAACCTGATGGCATAGAGGTCAGATGGTTGACAGACACCCAAACACCCAAAGTCCTTGGCTCCGAGTCTGGGGCACAGGCATGGAACGCTGTGATTCTTCAGCAGGATTACTGTCTTGTTCTCAAACCTGGACTCAATCATGACAAGATATGAGGAACTCCTGCACTCTACTAATCTTACTGCCTTCCAGGAGGTACCAATAAGACAACAGTGCACTAATCAGAAACATTTGAACTTCAGGTTTATAGGGAAAAGATTTACTTACTGAGAATGACACCCTCTTCAAACTGCCAAACCCCTTCACACTTGGTGCATACTTTAAAAAAATCGGAGCTTTCTTTTACCAGCATGCTCTTGCAACTCTATAGATTTCAATATTTTAATAAGTCTAGTATAGATGACTGCAAAAAAAGATCAGTGGGAATTGCCATCGAAGAAATTAGAACTTTCCCACTGGCCACTCACCCTCCACTGCAATACCAACAGCAATATTCTCAGGTCAAGTTGAGCAGAACTCAGAAAAATTCAGATGATAGAATTGTAGCTGTACTGCATGTTCAAATGTGACTAAACTGTAAACCATACTTTAACATTATTGACTAGACAATTCAAGAGGTAAACTTTCAGGCATCTCAGTCAACAAAATGATAATGTGATGAACTCACTTCTCATATTTGTCACCATGTAACTTAGTTGCACTTTCAACCCAGAGTCCTTCTGGGCTACAGTACTTCCTCCTTCCCTTTGTAGCACACACATTTAAAGACAGGTCCCTTACTCTCTCTCCTGTGTTAGATGCTTTCTTACATAAGGTGATTTAAATACAATTTGTTAAAAATTGCTAAATAATAACTGGACCTGGAGATGTTTCTAATTCAATATATTTTCATAATTAAAATCTAAGTGTATTTTAATGAGCTAAACCTGCTGATATGAAGACCAATATTTCAGGTTGTCTTCACTGATTACTGTAGCCAGACTCTTCTGCAGTATAGATTCAGAGATTTTTGACGTGTTGATAGAAAAAACGAGTGAGCAGAGGCAGGGGAAAGAGGTGAAGGCAAACTACAACTTCCTTTTCAAAGGGCCCATTACCATCTCTCTAGACTATGCTAATTTATCTAAAATTATTATGCTTATCATCGGTTAAACCACTGCATTTCTTTCTCAAAGCCTGAAAACTCCTACTTCACAGACACACTTTGCAAAATCCTTGAATTCCGTAAGAACATATAAATAAACTGACACGGAGAGCGTGGTGTGCAGCGTCAAGCGGAGCGCACGATGTGTTTGGCGGTAACCGGCGAAGTATGGAAGGCGTCCAGCGGAGGAAGGCCAGGGACTTCCCATCTGAGCATTGTTGCCTCCTCTGCTTGACCACACCGACTATCCAACAATAAATAACTCAAAGTGTTCTAGCAAACTCTCAAGAGCAAGGGCATATGGAACGTTTGGTTTTTGTTTGTGTTTAAAATACGATTTCCGTGCAGATGGCCTTGGTTTAGCTTTTCCGTGACTTTGTTTGGATCTTCTTTCGCTCAACTAAGAGAAGAGAAGCATAGATCTTTCAAACTTAAGCTCCCTGGGCTGCGTTCTGCAATTTGCCTCGCCACGTTCTGCAGAGATGCAGGCTCATTGTGCCTAAAACGTTTTTGCTAATCGGTAAGAAGCCAGTGACCTTTTTACTGTGGTTTCACTTGGGTCTTAAGAGTATTAAGGTTAAGGATACAAGGAAGCCATAAAATCGTATCAATCATCGATTTAGATGTTTAGATAGTTAGATTCTAGAGGGCAATTACTGTAGCAGGAATCTGGCCACAGTTGGAGGCTGACAAAATCAGCTTTTTTTTTGAGAGTTTGGACAGCCTTCTTAAAAGATGTCCACGAGGCCTCGTATGGTACACATGTCTTTAATTTCAGCAACTCGGGAGGCTGAAGCAAGAGGAACCCAAATTTGAGGCCAGCCTGAGCAATAAAAAAAAAAAAATTTAAAAAGGCTGAGGATATAGCTTAGCACTCCCTAGGTTCATCCTCAGTATTAGGGAAAAAATGTCTGGGAATAAGATATTCAAAAATAAATCCAGTGACATATGTGTCCTATTAGATAAGTTGGTATTTTCTATCCAATGATATTTTTAGACATCCATCTGTCATCTTTTCCTTCTAACCTTGTTGGTGAGGGTGGGAGGGCAAAAACAAAGAGAAAAAAAAACCTTAAAATAGTAGAAATTCATAAAATTATGGATATCATTTTGTGTTTGTTAATACTTGTGCCTTTGTTTTCCCTTTACCTGAAGCCCAAATACTCTCCAGGAAGCACAAGAGAGCCAGCTTTGTTTCATCTCTGTATTTAGCTTTTTTTTTGTGGCACTCTTCCTTCTTTAAAAAGCTAGCTAAAGTCAGTGGCTCTTGCACTGGGCTGTGGGATAAAGGCAACTTCAGTGCTACGAGAGCAGTGTGGTCTTCTCACACTAATGTGAGCCTTAGGTCATGACTGCAGAGTGACTCACCCACCCAATCACAAATAGCCTTCCAAAGGAAGGTCCCCCAGAGCCCATAGGCCTGCCTTTGAGTTGTATACTAACCCATACGCCATTTCCTTCCTAGGACTGTGTGTGTGTCTGTGTGTGTGAGAGAGAGGGGCTCCAGAAAACCAAACTGGGTTATTTTCATTTTGAATTATTATCCATGGAAAACTAAAGTCATGGAAATGCATTGTTCTTTTATTCCCTATACCCTAGAATTCAGACAATTTTGTCAGTTCTTTCTGCAGGATTTGGCTCTTTTGACAAGGTTCTCATTATAAAGCCATGTGAAATATTTATTTAGGTACAGTACTAAGCTGCTAGAACTATTATTTCAAATGCATGAACTCATATTGAGATCTTGTACAAAAATTCTTATCTGAAGAAAAAGGCTTTTCCAATTGAGAGAGAAAACCAGCTTCTAGCTACTGTTCAGGGAAATTGTGATAAAAGGAAAGGGAAATCTTATTGTAAAACATGAGAGTTGGAGTTGAGTTGGTTAGTCCTCCTTTTCATTTAGCTCCTTCTCGTATTCTAAGTGGCCTTTTGTTACAAGACATATAACCAATGTGCTTTATATTAAATCTTTGGGAAGAAAATAACAGAATATCCCCCCTTCACAGATGAGGAGACTGCTGCTCAGAAAGGTCAAGCACATTGTCCACATTCATCTATCCAGAAAGTACCAGAGACAAGATTCAACCCAGGGCTTTTTGCTCTATAGCCCAGGCTCTGGACCACTGTAGAATGTTATCTTCTGTGACAAACATACGCTACTCTAACCAGTGTTGTGAGACACCTAACCTACTTTTTGGTGGTTTCCTTTAGTAATTATTATGAGGCTAACAAAGTTAATTTTATTTTGCAAACGATTGCTCTGATTATTTGTTCTTGAAAAGCAGTCACTTGTGTATTATTCTAGTCTTGGTTTTGGATTTTTTCAATTGCAATTTTTCTTAGTGATTTTGCAGGTGTATGGTGATTTTCAGTTGCACAAAATAAATACTTATTCTGCAAAGTAGCACCACCCCGGCCTGTAAATCACAGGCAGGACATTGGAAGGACCTAGGAAGTTTCTCTTGCCTTGTCTGTGTGCTTCTTGCTATCCTTGCAGCTCCTGTGGTGCTAGGAACAAAGGTAAAGGCCACGGTTGGGATGTTTCACCTATGGGTACACTGTGTTAAATGCTTGGTCCCCAGGGTGGTACTATTGAGAAGAGGTGAAACTCTTAGGAGGGGAGGCCTAGAAGGAAAGCTTTAGGTCATCGGAAGTAGCCCTTGAAGGGGATTGCGGTACCCCGGTGTCTTTCTCTTTCTCTTCTGGTTCGTGGCTGTGAAATGAGCAGTTTGCTTCAGCACATTGCCGCTGCCATTGCCATCCGGCTTGCCCACCAGAGGATCAAAGCAATGGGCCTTCCCAGCAATGAACGGAGACATTCAGAATTGTGAGCCAAAATCAACCTTTTTAAAATTTACTTTGTTATAGTGACAGAGAGCTGACCAGTGCAAGACTCAACCTATATGAAATGAATGAATCTATCCTATCACCCTAAAAGGCCCACCAGTAACATCTTCCTCACTGAGTTAGGGCTACTTCCACAAAGTATGCTATTAACAAAACTTTGTTTCCTGAGAGAGTGAACATTTTTATAGGTTTAATTTATCAGACTGCAATATCTGGATTTTGCCTACCATTGAGTCATTTTTGAAAAAAATAGGAGATGTTTGTAGATATTTTTGAGCAAGAGCAACCAAAGGAGTTGATGATTCCTTGAATGTGTACTTGTTATTTGTTATGACCTGTGCCACTGATGTATGAGTATAGTTTTGTACCTGCTTTTAGATGAGATAATTGTTCTGTTGCCATCTACAGGACGAATTGGGAGCCCAATGAAAGGATACTCACCATGTTCTTGGGAGTAGGGATAGCTTCCAGGAGGTGAGCCTGTAATGACTCTCACAGGGCTGGCAGCATTAGGTGTGGTGCTGGAACCTAGGCCGGGCTGTCAGAACCAGAAGGGAATGAACTGGAGAGGCAAGGAGGTGGCAGATGAGGAGGGGCCTCGTGTGCTAAGCTGGAGTGCCGTCTTTGTTCTGCATGTTGTGGTGAACAGTTGAAGTACTGAATACAGGAAATGACATGCTTATTTATAAATTACCTCTGGCTACCTTGTGGAGAGTAGAGAGAATGGAAACTAGAGATGAGGCTAGCGGAAAGGCAGTTGCTGTGGTCCAGATAAGAGCCTGAATGAAAGCAGTGAGATGGATGAGATGATTCATGCTGGGAGGATAAAAGTAGAATGTACAGGGCTTGGGAATTGCTGTATGGAGGCCAGTAGTAGAATGAGATGCCCTTGTTTCTGGCTTGTGTCCTTTCTAAACAAATTGCAGACAGTGATGCCTTTTCAACCTCTTTTTAAGGCAGTGAATCTCAGTGACAGCTGTTAAGGTTATGATGAAATGATGCTGGACAAGTAGTGGGAAAACAAGGAAGAGTCCATCTGGGAATATGCAGTTGAAATATCCAAGCTCTACAGAAAAGGAGGGGTGGCCTAGTGTTAGTACCTCCTAGCAGCACAGGTCTGGTTCCCAAGGCAAGTCTGGTGCCTTTGGATGTGATGCACCTCTCGTAAAACATGGTGGATGACACAGTGAGCGCTCCGGTCTGATTTCTCATTTATGATATATGATCCAAAAATACAGTGTGTGTTTAAATAAAAAAATTATGACAGTAAAAGACATCTTGCCATTCATTCTCTTCAAAATAGTGCACCTTGCTTTAGACACACTTAACCCATCATTCTTGCCACTTTTTGAAAGCAGTTCTGAGAGTCCCTTACCCTGAGTATCTTTAGTTGTGCTGTCATGGCTGCTTCGATGTCCTGAAATGATTCAAAATGTTTGCCTTTCATGATTATTTTAACTTTGGGGAAGAGCCAGGAGTTGCACAAATGGCAGAGCCAGTGAATAGGTGGACGATCACACTTGGAAGGACATGAAAGAGAACTTCCAAAATTGCTTCTGAAGCTGGCAAGCAAGAATGATAAGTGTGTTTGAAGCAAAGAAGATTTTTTTGAAAAAGAATTAATAGCAGTGTCTTTTTTTTTTTTTTTTTTTTTTTTTTTTTTTTTACCGGGGATCAAACTCCAGTCCTTGTGCTTGTGAGACAGTTGGCAGAACCACTGAGCTAAGTCCACGGCTGCAATGTCTTTTACTGTAACAAATTTTTAAATGTAAATGTTCACTGAGTTTTTAATCATCCCTTGTATCCCAGGCCAGTCTATTATGAGAAATAATCCAAGTATGACTGTTTTTCCTCTGAATATTCCTGAACTTCTTGACATTTCAGTAGTTTGCATGTAGACTTCAATCTCCTGTACTCGATGTTTTGGCCATGTGCCTTGTAGTGGGTTTTTGTGTTTTACTAACTAGAACTAGAACCCCAGTAAAGAGTCCATATATCAAGCTGCATTGTAAATCTCTAAGACAAAACCACTTTATAGGAAAATTCTGTTATTGGACTGCTTCTAGAAATTGAACTTCTTTTAAGGGACTCCCAATGTATGTTCATTACATTATATCAGGAAAATGTACCTGAATTTAGAATCGAAGTGCACGATCTAACAGTTAGTAAGATGTAGGATGCTTCTGAGTCCACGCAGAAGAAGACCGTGGAGTGGCTACCTGTGTGATAAATTAAAGATGAATTCTCCCCAAAATCACTGTAACACAGCCCTCCTGTGGACCAAAAAGAGTGATCAACTGCACTATATTTCTGGGTAACCATTTACTTTCCAAAGTAAAATGAATAGCTGGCAGAAGGCAAGTAACTTTATAAATAAGCAGGAACAGACTATGGCACTTAGTGCCAGGCAAATGCCCCTTTAATTGGCTCAGTATCATCCTACTGCTATTTTGTACCATTATTTAAAAAGGTCTAGGAAGAGGGAATGACTCCCAGCTCAAGATGGAAGAATATATTTCAAGTTAGAGGTACAAAGAATACTAATCATGTTTTGCAATATATTTCTTAAGAAAAAGGAAGAAGTTCTTTTAAAAGACTAGATTTGGTTGTAAATAGAACGTGTAAATGGTCCTTTTAAAGATGAATTTCTATCAATCAATCAATCATAGTTTTCCTTTTCCCTATTTATTAACTCCTGAGTTCATTATTAAGTACAATTCCAGTTAAGTTTAATGTTCCTTAAAGATGTATTCAGTGCCTGCTTTGTTATTCTTTTCCACCATTGCTTGGAATTGGAATATACCTTAGGATTCACCTATATTTTATAGTCAAGAGAAACTGAGGCTTAAGAAAGTGAAATGATTTGCACCAGCTCAAAATAAACAAAGCAAGACCACCCTGCACCTTCCCCCACACTGCCTCAGAACACAGAGGTATTTCATGGAATGTACTGGTTCTCACTACTCAGAAAAGCTGTATTGTGTCCTATTTGCTCAAGGTAAGCAAACCACAAAGTGTTAACTGGTTTTGCCTTGAAGTGTGACTGTGATGCTGTGTATGCATGAAAGCTCCCATGAACCATCTCATATTTAAGAAATATTTCATTCTAAGTGGCTTCATTTGCAGTTGGCCATTTTTTTGGTATATTGTATATTGAGACTGACCAGTTTAATATATGGTTTTTAAGATTTCCACACAATTTATAGGTTTTTTGCAAGGCAGACATTTTCCTTTTGCCCAAGGCAGTAATAGAGAGGGATGCAAACACTGCTTTAAAGAGGGTGTCTGCTGATTTACATATTTTAAAAGTATTAAGATCAAAGGTAATGAGATTTAATCCATATGGCATGCAGAAGATAAATAAGAATATTAATACTGTATCACATAGTGATTAAAATAAGCACACGGATCTAATTTTAAGAATGTAATGCAAAAATGAAATACTCTTTGTAAAGACCTGATTCTTCTGAAAAGGACAGTTAGGGTGAGGTGGGTAAAAGCTGGCTGGTTCATATATACAGCTTCCACAGAATCAGGGTAATTATGAGCCCAATGATTGTGCTTAGCAGTTAAAAAGTGCATTCACATCTTTTTGGATCCTCAAAGCAAACCTTTTCAGTCCCAAGAGCTCTTAGCCCCATTTCAGTGAAAAGGAAATATGCTCATAGTAGCAAAAGAACTTGGACCCAATCAATCTCCCTCTTATCTTCCTCTCCCCCTTTTCATCTTCTCTTTTCCACTCCCTCAGTGATAATCACTCAGAAGGGTACAGGGAGATGAGCAGTCTCACACACTGAGAATACTGGGTGTGAAAATTGATGCAATATTCTTAGCTTATCTGTCTCTGTTCATACACTTTCTGAATGGCATCTCACTTCTAGAAATCTAATCTAAAAGATAACCAAAGATATAGTATTTATGCCTAAGGATGCTTGTAGCGTTTTAAGTGAAAAATTTCAATAAACCAAATGTCCAACAAAAGAAGAATATTTAAGTTATAGTATATCATAAGTGACACAATGTACAGTACAAGTAAAATCATGATTATAAGTAATATTTACAGTGGCTATCAAATGTTTGCATTTAAATGCTCAGAGAAAAAAGTACATTTTAAAGTTGATAGTGTAATTTCATATACATGCATTCATATATTTATTTTATCTGTATCAAGGGCAGCAAGTCTTCTTGATAAGGAATCTGATATTAAGTAGTTTGGGCTTCATAGAGCATAGGGTCTCTGTTCAGTTACTTAACTCTACCCTTGTAGGGTGAGAGAGAAGCATAGTCAGCAAATAAATGGGCGTGACTGTGTTTCAGTAAAACTTTATTGATACATATTGAACTTTGAATTTCATATACTTTAATGAGTCACAAAATATTATCCCTTTGGGAATTTTCCAACCATTTAAAAATTGTAAAAACCATTCTTAATTCATAGACTTTATGAAAACAGCAGTAAGCCTGATATGGCTCTGGGATAATGGTTTACCAACCTCAATCTATAGTATAGAATAGTCAGTTACTTCTGGGTATCAGAAATGAACAGTCTTTATTTTCTTCCTTAATATACTTATCTATATTTTCTCTCATATACATACTGTAATTTAAAAATAGGAAGAAAATGATAAACATTGATTTTTAAAGAAAGAGTTTGTCCAGCTTTAATAAATGATAAATGGCAGGGTCAGAGGCAGATTTTAAGTAGGCAAACCCTATGTACAAAGCCCATTGCCACCGAGAATCTTGTGGCTGGAAAGGTCTTTAAAGATCTATGAATGGTCTAATGCTTTGTTTTATGCAAAGAAAGGAAGAACCTAAAACTGAAATACTGTAGTAGTAGGGTGTGGTGGTGCATGCTTGTGCTCACTGCCTCAGGAGGCTGAGGCAGACTAGCCTGGGCAATTTAGCGAGACCTAGTCTCAAAAAGAATTGGGGAGGTAGCTCAGCAAATCTGGGTTTAATCCCAATACCACAATAAATAGACAACTTGCTCCCAGTTGTATGGTAATCAGAGGCAGAGTCCCAGCCAGCCCTGAATACCCCAGTTCTCTAGTGCTCTTTCTACTTCCCTGGCCTTCAGGAGTCATAGAATCCACGGAGCCACCTTTTCGTAATCTCCAAATTGCTTGTATTTTATATGTTCGCTTGATTTGTAACCCCCTTCTTTAAGTTCCCCACCGCCAATTCTGTAGGCTAATCTATGAAAATACCAAAAGCCTAGTGTCCTAATAATGAGAATCCCATGTGCCTAACAAGGTACCCAGAGGAAAAAAAATGTATAGTAACTTGTTAGGAAAGAATTCCATGAATGAAGATTTGGTTAGGTGACAAACTGTCCGCCTTACTGGCAGGAACATGTCCTTGACCTCTCCGTCAAGCTTCCTGTTCCCTGGGAACCTTCTAGGACTTTCAAGACTCACCTCACAATCTGCCTGTCCTCAGGCCATAACTTCATGTTGAGAAACAACTTGAGCACTTGTCACATCTTCACTTCCAGTTCCTACCTCTCTCTTGTCCCTAAACCCAGGAGTGCTTTTAGGAAGCTCACTCGCTGAAACTCATGTCTTTCACTTGCATTTGTTAGACAACCTCTACTGACCACCTCTAATTATGGCATAGGTCACTTTGCTAAGCTGGTCTTGGGAACGTCACAGCCCTGGCCCTCAGTGAGTGTTAGGAAAGTGGCAGTACCTCCTCTGTCTACTTCCCAGAGGCTTGGGCATCCAATTTATGTGATCTGGGTGAAGTACTTTGAAAAGTTGAGCACTCTGAAGTGGGAGAGGGGATTTTTATTATTGGCTTCTTTGCTCCTCACTAAGGAGTCAAAGGAGAAAAGCCTGGGTTTAACTAGACAAAAGGGAGAGGCAGCCTGTGCAGGACTTGCTAGAAATCAGAGCATTGTACCCACCAGCCCCTTTCTTCCTGGATGGCCTACCCCTGCTAGCATGAGGAGACAGTGGAATTGAGAAAAGTTAATTCACTTGCAAGTTGGGAGTAATTTGAACTTAAGTGTGCTGTGGTGGCTATGAATTCAATTCCCAGGATATAAAAAATGCCAATTGAAAATGCAAAAACAGACAGATTCCTACACTCTGACTGTAAATAGCAGATTCAGGAAGACGTCCTATACAAATAAATGTTTCTGGCATTTTTAAAATGCAGAGGAGAGAAGGGTATAAAGGGTAATTCTGTCTTAAGAACCCAGAGTTGAAGGAGCTAATCCTTTCTTCATGTTTACCATGATCACCACACATGGTGGATACACTTCTCAGCCATTGCAAAGTTCATGGTTGAGGCTCCTGTAACAAAGGACACATTACCAAGAGAAAAACATAACAAATTCATTTGATATAGGTTTTATGTAACCCAAGAGTCTTCAGAAATGAAAACGCAAGAAGACAGACTTTATGCTAAGCCTGACAAAGAAGTAGACAGTTGTAGAAAAGCATGGTTGGACAAAGGGGTGTGATCTCAAGGTAGTAAACGGGGAAAAGTTAGCAAAAGCTGTTTTTAAAAATTCACTATCTCTGTGCCTTTGTTACTGTTTCTCTAAGTATAGAGAAAAAAATCTGCTTCGGGGAAGGTCAGAGAATTCTCTCACGTTCTGCTTCAGGAGAGAAGGGCTGAAAGTCAGACAGACTCCTGCTTCTGCTCTTCTCAAATGCCATAGTGCCATGTTTTGGAATAATATGTTCTGAACCTCATATGCTCTATAAGTGCTGGATTTATATATAAAACACTGTCTTTTAATATAACAGTGCCTGTTCCCTTATAACTACAACAAAGTTCAGTAACAAGTTGACTTCATTATAAGGCTTTGCTGACAAGTAATTGCAAACCCAACTAGCTGAAACAATAAAGAAGATTTATTGACTCACTTAATTACAATGTCCTGAGTACATGAGGCATGACTTTGTCAGGACTTCAGGCTCTGTCCTTTACAGTTACCTCAGCTCTGCCATCCTGCAAGGCTTAGCTTTACCCTTAGTTTAGTTCCCCTTGTGATGGTTAAATGGTTGCAGCAGTTCTAGGCTTTATATCTAAAGAAATAAATTAAAAACAAACAAAATCCTCTTTACCTGGAGATGGAGCCTCCATTTTTCAGAATTGGTTACCTCCAAGGCCTGTTGGTCAAAAGAATGCCTTGGGCTAATTGGCTGATACTGAGGTTATATGAACCAATCACTGCAAGGAACAAAATGGAGTTATTGTGACTTAGTCCTATCAGGTCCCATCCTTGGATCTGAGGGTGGGGTCAGTCTTCAAATACATGACTGCTGTGCAGGGAATGGATAATGGGAAGGCAACAGCGTGAATTTTATCATTCAAGGCCCAATCGGGAGACTAAAATCAAGGCAATTATTTTAACAGAGAAAATTGAACAATTCTGTAATTGTAAATCATACTAGAGAATTGAAAAGGCAAAAGGAAGACATAGCAGTAAAACAGAGATATACTAACTTTATAAAGCGTCTGCCCCTCCTAAAGGTTGAGGGGAAGAAAAAAAAAAGATGTGATTGTTATAAGAAATTTAGGTGGGGCCTCAAAATTGAAACCTAGATTTATTTGAAGTAGGTGCTGGGATCTGAGGGGATCAGCGAGGCCAGTTCTAGTAGTGTGGAGACACTTACACAAGAACTAACTGCTATTACTGGAATCCACTGTCGCTACCTAGGTGAGGACCCGTTGCTATGGTGATGCTGATAGAAACAAGAAGCAAACAGGAAGCAGCAAGTCACTCCTTCTGTAGCCTACCTTGAGGTCTTTCTGTAGCTCTTCCTGAAGACTCTTCAACAGTTTTGCATATTTCTACCTGTGATTTTACCTTAACTTTCACTGTTGGACATGCAGGTCTGAGAGGGACCCAGATTGCTTCTCCTTTTCATTTTTTCGGCAGTGATGGAAATAAAGCCCAGAACCTCATGCATGCTGGTCAGCACTCATCCCTGAGCCCCGATCCTAGTCCCCGCTCAATATACTCCTCTTTACTGCCATTGTATATTTCCGATTCTTACCTCATAGAAATCAACACACCTTGCAGACTAATTACTTTCTTTGCTTGTTGACTCAGTAGCAGGAAAAGCCCAAAAGGCCAAGTGGTGATCTCTTCTTCAAATTCAGTGGAAATGTGGTTGCATCCCCTGCTGGAAGCTCTCCTTCCTTTCCTGAGTACCATGACTTTCATTCCAACAGACCTCAAAGTTGTGGGGACAAGGAGCAAAAATTCTATATAAAGCTACTTTAATTATTATAGAAAGCAACTAAAAAACCCCAGAGTGGATCCATTGTCTCTGATTCGTCATGTTCCTGAAAATGTATTTTTATCTTCAACTTTAATCTCCTTTGAGGGCCAAATCTGAAGCTGGCTTACATTCATATGTCTGTTGGTTCCATTATGCTATCTGTTAACTGCTCAGCAGTTAAACACTGGTAGAATGTATAGGTTGGATGTGTTGCTAGGTATGGGCTAACTGGCTTGTGTTCAAAAACTAAACACTTGTTTCTGTTTGAATTTTCCTTTGCTACTTCACATGTGAGAGTGAGGTTTCTTTGGTCTCTGGACTTCTGGTGAGCTCTAGTAACGGCGACTCAGCAAGTCCATTGATCAGTTGTAGGTTGGAGATTTCAAGCGGATTAATTTCTCTGAAGAGATGGCAAGTCCCTGTACCTCCTCAGAATATCATAGCTTTGGGGTAGTGTTTAATATTACTGTGCACTTAAAATGCAATATGTTACATTTTAGAAGACACATTTTCCTGCAGATGACTTTAAGCAGGGAAACATTTCATTAGCTCCTCTTCCCTCATCCTGAGGAGCTCCTGACATGTGAGCTGAAGCCGTTTTCCACTGCCTGGAGCTCCTTCTCCACATCAAACACTTAATGAAAGTGTTTTCCTCAAACCTCAAGCACTTCCAAATATGAAATGTGAAGGGGAAAGATTTTGCTCAAATTGCAAAATGTTCTACACTGCAGGGGATGTGAGAATACGTGGGTGTGCGTGTGTGACACTGGTATACCTTTCCTGCTTACTATTTTGGAAATAAATTTAATGTTATGCATAAATCCATTCTAAACATGATCACATAAACAAACATTTGTTTGGACCTTTATTGGTCCCCACTGTTAATCTCCAGGGTTTTTATTAGGGAGAAGTAGGAGGGCCATGTTGCTCTCCCCAAAACACGGATAAGCTGCCAGCCTGAAAGAGAAACTGAGTTCCTACAGTCACAAAGTAGCAGCCAGCTGTTCTCCTGCTGTAGTCTGCAACCTTAGGAGGGTTGTTTGTGGGGAAGAGGTAAGAGTAGACAGAAAGCGACAAAATGAGCTGGGGATGTGGCACATGGTAAAATGCTTGCCTAACATGTATAAGGCCCTGAGTTCAGTCTTCAGCTTGCTCCCCGCAAGAAAGGTGATAAGGAATTTTAATTCTGATTATACCCATGTTACCAAAGTGCAATGTTAAGAGCTGGCCTAGACTTTTAAAGCAGAATAATTGCACTGTCTTAGAAGATTCCCCCTCGATGAGCTTCTGTGAAGTACTTTGTTTTAAATAAATACTAAACTAGTTCCAAATCAAAAGTAATTCCCAGTGAGTAGGTATTTGAAACTTAGTGTACATATTCTAGCATTTCAGAAGCACCCGAAGGTAAACACAACAAGCACCCTTAGTTACTGCTAAAATTTGCATTTTCCATAATGTATGCTTTGTTAAAAATGTATTAAATATGACAGGCTGTTAATGTATCTCTTATATTAGCCACAATTTGCCCTCATTTCTCTGAATGAATTGCTACAATATTGCCGGTTGTCCCTTGTGAAGCTTGCCTTAATGAGTTGATAAGGTGGCCTGTGTGAGCAGCTGCCCCAGATCTGTGCTGTCCCCGGCCTATGGTGAGGTACACGGGGCCTGGAAAGTTCACCCAAACGTGGGTCTTTAGCAGTAGCTCCAAAGTGCTTAGTTCTTTCTTAGAGAAATGACTTTGTTACCAAAATTCTGTATAATATGGGGAACAAGAAGTTATTATTATCTTTTTTTTTTTTTTTTTTTTTTTGTACTGGGGATCAAACTCAGGACCTTGTGCTTTTGAGGCAGGCGGCAGCACCATTGGGCTGTTATTATTTTTAAGAAATCCACATTCTAATTAGTGTAGAGGTCCAGGAAAAGTAAAAGTTGTGGATTGGATTTGGTTACTCCACATATCTGTTGAGCACATCACTAGAGGAGCAACTATCCCTATAAAGCCAATAACAGTATGTCCTTGGTTATATAACCGGTAAAACAAAACAAAACAAAAAACTATGACCATCAGAGACCTGGAGAATCAGATTTAGCAAAGGTGAAGATTTGTGATCTGTAAACAGTATACCCCTTTCTTTGGATGTGACCTTTTGACAAGGTGCAGGGATGGGTGGTATCTCCTGTCAGTTACAAACCCAATAGTCAGTGCTTTGATATTTTAAAACGCAAATATATTAAACACTCAGAAGAAAACAATAATACAAACGGCACCCATATAGTAGACCTTAATATTTTGTCATATGTGCTTCAGGTTTTGTTATCTTGAAACCCCACACTACCCTGTCCCAATCCTGTCCATCTTCTCTTGTCCCCGATGCAAGCATTATCCTGAATATGCATGCATCTTTTTGCTAACTTTGTAGGCAGAAGCCAATTTGTCTGAGGTTAAGAAATCTAGGGCTTCAAAATCACTACCAGTATTTCTTCCAAGGCTCAGAAGGGTCAGAGGCTTGGTAGGGAGGCACCTTGCCATCCCCCACCATAATGGAACCCTGAACTGCCCTCCCAGCCTGGGGTCATCTCCAGGCTGCCACACCACCTCCACACACTCCTAGCACCTAAGGGGAATCTGCTCTTAGATTCCCATGTTCAGCCTCTGATTCCCATGTTCAACCTTGCAAGGCAGATCTACACCTTCCTCAAGAACTAAATCCCAGAATGCCTTTGGAGCCCTGCGGGAGGTCCGAAATGCAAGAAGGGCAGAAGTTACAGAGTCATGATGCTAAAATTATATATTTTTTTTATGGTACCAGGGATTGAACTCAGGACCTTGCACTTAATAAGGCAGACAGCAGAACCACTGAGCTAAATCCCTGGCCCAAAAAATATCTTTTAGATTCTTTGTGTTTTTAAAAATGTCTTTTTAAAGTATCATTTCCCCTTTAAATGTATTGATCGGTCATTCTAGAGAAAAGCTGGAACTTTTTTACTTTCTGTAGAAAAATGTGTTAAAAATCAGAGTAAAAATGAATGCTGGTTAGAATTCTAAGAAAAATGGTATAAAGATACAGGCAATCATTAATGATATTATTACCTTGCTTTTCTGTATTTTATTGTTTGTGGAATTTATCAGCTTGCAGATTTCTTCAATTAATACTCTCCCTTACATACCTACTCAGTCCATGGAACTCGTCAAATACTGCTTCTCTAATGCTGTAGCCAGCACTGGCTCCAGAGTCTTCATAAAGGCAGATGTTAGGGATTCAACCTGATCAGAGAGCTCTGAAAGACTGACCTTGAGGCTTTGTTGACACTGTAGGCCCACTGTCTCTCCTGTAATTGTGTATTTATGTAGAGGGACCAGGCAGTGCTGGTACTGATTCTGAGGATGAATCCCTACAGCTGTGGCAAACCTTCCATTTCACTCTGCGATGGGCTTTAGCCTCCTATGCATATCTGGGTCTTCGTTGCCCTCACAATTTTAGCTAAGCACATTAACCTCTGATCTATTAAAAAGGTGAAATTTACAATAGTAGCGATCATGTGTACAATAATAGCATCATGCTTTTGATGATGGTATATGTTAATTAACTATCTTTAAAAGGCAGAAATCTCTTGTGGCAGTTTTAACAAAGCCATAAAAAAAAATGTGCATTGGAAAGGAGCTGAAAATTGTGTATCATTGTTAACAGGCAAAAGCAACCTAAAGGAGGTTTATCATATTAATCTAATATAAGATGTACCCCATAGGCAGACAGGCCAATAATTGGAATGTAGTATTTTGACTGACAAGTTACTTTCTACCTATTTTGCAGGAAGCAAAATGAAACCTCTTCAGGGCAAAGGCAACCTAACTGCAACATAGCTTTGTGAAGACTAGTCTAGGAATGTAATCAGCATCAAGTTCATA